GCTGCAGAGTTTGTGGAATTATGGGAATACTTCACCCACACCAACTGGGAGCACCAGGTAGATTGGTTGGAAGAAATATGCATTGAAGAGCAACCTGGCCCGTGGCCCAAGGATGGTGCAAAATTCTTTCCAGATGCAAGAGGTAAATTGTGGTCCTCAGTCGGAGACAATGTCAGATGTGAAGCCGTCAAGCTGGACGACATATTGGCCAAGTAACTCTGCTGTTTCAGGAGCTGAGGGCAGTTTAGACAGGGCCACAAAGTGGTACAGCCTTGGAAAAACGGTTCATGATGGTACGAATAACTATGTTACCTGATGAGAGCGGTAACTCAGTGACAAGATGTCTTGACGCATGCTCAATCATCCAGGTAAGTAAATCTCCAAAAGTTGATTCTGTTCATCTGGATGTAGCGTTTTGTGGGAGAAACGTTTCATCACTTACCCAAGTGACTTCTTCAGTCTCAGCCGACTGCAGGTTTCCCCAAACAAAAAGGAGATTCAATTCATTGGAAGAAAAAAAATGTTTATAATGTACATTCTATTTGCTAAGGACTGCGGATTTATTAGAGCAGTCCTCGTTGGAGCTGGAGCCTGAGTAGAAGTTGTCTGTAAAGCCCAGGTTAATAGGCGCAAAAAAGGTTTATTCCACGACTCCCAAGATGTAAAAAAAACAGCAGCGAGCAGGGTTTTGGACACCTAAGCCCACCACGGAACCGGACAGGAGATGACACGATCCAGGAAACGCCGTCGGCTGTGATGTAATGGACCATAACCAACTTGAGAAGCTGCTGAAGAAAAGGTAAAGCAAGCTTTAATTGTGTTGTCCTTGGGTCATTTTTGTCCCTGAGGACCACAGGTGTATGAAAATCGGGAGGACATTATGAGGGTTAACCAAACGGAGCAGCAAACTGAGATTAAACATTTATCTCCATAAAACAAACAGTCCAAAGAGCACTGGATGACATCAGTGGCTTCATCCATCTTTTACATCAGGGGTAGGCAACCTTTCTGAGGGCGAGTGCCATTTAAAATTTCCTCAGAAGTCAGTGTGCCATATGATTGCATTAGCAATAAATTTAATAACGCTCTATATTAGCAGTTACACAATATATAGAACCACTTTATAGAATTATATTTGTTTGCGGATGTTGGCCGCTATCAGCGAATGGTTATCAGCTATTTTGAAACAAAAAAAGACACTTTTTATCCATAAGAAGAACTCCATAACAGCAGATGGACTGTACAACAGAAAATACAAATGCTATTTATGGTCTCCTCACAACAATGATAAGAAAAATAAACTAAGCCAATATGGCATGTCTGTTAATACAGAGACACACATGTTAATGTGATCTTTGGTCTCCCACTCATGAGAGAATGAAGGAGAGAATGAGAGAAGAAGAGGCAGCTGTGCAGCGTAACGACAGAATAAATCCACCTTTGTGTCTTTTTCCATCCTAGACAAACTGCGTCTCCTCTCAGCTCAACACGAAACGCGTAATAATTTCTCTGAATGCAGGACGATTCCTTTTGTACGGGACGGTTGGCAACTCTACTAACTAACCTTATGAACAAAATAAAGTTCAACATCAGTAAATTCATAGCACCCACCCAGCTGTAGAGAAACTCTGTCATGCTAGCTAGTACGCAGTACGAGTTATTGTAACTGACTGTAAAAAGTCAGCATAACAAAAATAAACTCCACCTAAATTTGGTTTATATGTGACCCAGAGAGACTGCAGGTCATAACTTCTTACCTGAAGTTCAGTTCACATGACACTCAGACCATCGGCTGCCTCGGGTCTCTCCTCCTCCTGCTTCCCCTGTCCCTCATCCACCTGCTGGCCTCCACCACTTGTTAATATTACTGAATCTGTGGAAGCTCCGCCACATCCACCACCAAACAACTGAGTTATTTTTACACACCGGCCAGCATCTGGCCAATCCACCACCTTTCATTGTTTATACCGTTCCAAAAAAAAAAAAATCATCGGCCACCGAGCAAATGCCTGATGGCCAGTCCAGCTATGGTATGAATGTTCAAAATCTGCACAGAGGAGAACACAATATGCTAAAACTTTACAAACAATCAGGCCTTCCTTCTCCTTAAGTAGTGACCAGCCGATTACAGGATTACCAACAAGTGAGTTCATCATCACAGGCATGATGGACTAAAAGACAGGATGCAGAGGAATGACCTGTCCCTGTATCAAAAAGTGTGTATTTTTTTTCTCTCTCATGCATGAGCGCACACACAATGCACGCGACACACACAAAGGATAGAAGATGGGCAGTGGAGAGAGAAATGGGGAGCCAGCACAGGAGGACTGGAGGACCATGACAGTCATATGGCTTAACAAACAAAAAAAAAACATTCCTCTTAAAATGGTCAGAGATAAGAACTGGACTAAAAATGAATGAGAAAGCAGCCAATGTCTAAAGAAAGAGTTTGACAGATCTTAAGGAAGCCTGGAAAACTATTGCATAAGAACAGTTGACAAAGTCAAAATATGAAGAGATGAGTGGTGGCTCAAGACTTTTGCTCAGTACTGACACTTTTAATTAGCAATACTGAACTTCAGTTAACTCCTGTTTGTGATTGTTTAACTTTTGTCTTCAGGCCAGGAGGAAGAGCCGGGATGGCTGCTGTTACTTTGATGGATGGACTGAAGTTTGACTCCACGGTTGTTTTTAAACATGTCGAGGACTTCCTGCCGTCCTACGCCAGGCCACGCTTTCTGAGGATTCAAGTATGTTTACTCCAGTTATTTACACTTTTTGCATTTGTGGTTAAGCCTCTTTGTTGCTTGCATGATTTATTTTATCCACTAATAATTGGTTGTACTGTGATTTATTACAGAGGTCACTGGACATTACAGGCACGTTCAAGCTAATAAGACGAAAGCAGTGGAGCAGGGCTTCAACCCAAATGAAATAACAGACCCACTCTACTTCTGAATGAAAAAGAGGAATTATACTCCACTCACGCCAGATGTATTTGATTCATTGTAGCAGGAAATATCAAAATATAAAGTGATTTTACTTTTTAAAGGAAAGAAAATCACCTCTGTAGAAAATCATTGAGATGACAGCGTGGCACTTCTGGCTGCACATTTTGTTGATAAGGTGTTTGAAATTATATCTTTGCCTTCATAATTTGATTTAGCTGTGATTCTATGCACACATCCTTAATGATTTAGCCTTCTACGGATGTACTGAGCTGTGAGTTCACTCAGTGAATTGTTTCAGTTAAGTAAACGCATTGCTCTGCACCTTCTTCCTTCAATGCATTCTGGTCCGTCCATGTTATATATATTTTTTAATTAAAGACCTACTGATATTGTATGTCTCTTTCACTGCCTTATTGTAGTTATCATTGGACATTGTAGTTTGTAGACTATGTATGCACTTTGTGTGCACAATATATTTGCAATAATACTAATAATAATAATATTAATATGGGCAAGCGAAGGAACTGATCATCTAATATGATAAATAGTGAGTAACCGGGCTTTAGTGATGTCTTTTTGTACTAAGGGCTCAAAGTAAATATCCCCCATACCTTTGGATCACCGTCAGTAGCCTGAACTGTTGATGCACGATTTCATGTTGTTTACGCCAAAGTCAGAGTATTTCAATTCAATTTTATTTATGCAGCACCAAATCAAAACAACAGTCACCTCAAGGTCCTTTATATTGTAAGGTAGACCGTACAATAATACATACAGAGGAAAAACTCAACAATAATACGACTTTGGCGACACCGGAAAGGACAAACTCCCTTTTAACAGGAAGAACTTCCAGCAGAACCAGGCTCAGGGAGAGGCAGCCATGCTGTGATGGGCTGGGGTGAGAGGAGGAGGAGGACAGGATAAAAACGTACAGTGGAAGAGAGACAGAGATTATAACAGTATCATTCAGTGCAGAGAGGTCTATTAACCATAGTGAGTGAGAAAGGTGATTAAAGAAGAAATACTCAGTGCATCATGGGAGTCCCCCAGCAGTCTACACCTATTGCAGCATAACTAATGGAGGACTCAGGGTCACCTGATCCAGCCCTAACTATATGCTTCAGCAATAAGGAAAGTTTTAAGCCTAATCTTAAAGTAACGTGTGTTTTGGGATAAGTTGTAGGAATCTTCTACTTGAGGCAGACTGAAACAGTCAAGAGAGGCAACATCGTCTTAAATGGGACATATGGTCATGTGAAAAAGAACACATCCATAGGACCCTATACAGTCGTTTGACTTGGCAGCCAGGTGCTGCTGAGCAGTAAATTACCTGCTTCCCGGTTCTGGGACGACTACAGAAAATATGCCACAGTCATACAGTACATAGGTGAAATTATCCGTTATCTCTTCTTTTTCTCTTCAAACAGAAACTCAGTAATAAAATCCACAAAGTCAGACTTGCAGTAGGCACGGGATCAGAGCAGATGTTTGGAGGGACTTTGTGAGACGATTTGGAGAAATTCAAATCAGTGAATTTTATGCATCAACCGAGGGAAATTTGCTCTGTTGATGCATAGCACTCTGAAATATAGCAGCAAAATGGAGATCATGGGCGAGACAGGTAAAGATCCATGTTTCAGCTTACACTGTGAAGTATGAAGCAGTGTGTTAGCTTTTTCTTTTGAATTTGTAGATGTTTTTTCCATATGCTGTGATCAAAGACAAAGGAGAGCATTTGAGGGATTCATATGGTTTCTTCATAGAGGTTGAGAAAGGTGTGTTACTTCCAGGAAGGTTATAATGCAAAATATCTTTTTTCTTCTCTTTTCTTCTCAAGTTCTCACCCATGCATCTTTTCAAATGCTATAAACATTTTATATGCCTTAATCCAAACCTACACAGTTCCTTTTCTCAGCCACAGTGTACCTCACCATGCACAAAATGAAAGTTTAAAAGACTCAGAAATGCAATGTCTCTACAGCATGTATCATGCATCTTGCCTTTAAAATATAACAACCCCAAATATGACTTCTCCTGTACTTTGATCAGGTGAACCTGGACTTCTGGTGACTGAAATAACAGCCAAAGCTCCATTCACTGGTTATGTGAGAGACATGAAGCAAACTGAGAAAAAGAAGCTGCACAACGTCTTCAAGAAAGGTGATCTGTACTTCAACACTGGCGACCTGCTGCGCATCGATGAGGATAATTTCATGTACTTCCACGATCGTGTTGACGACACATTCAGGTGAGCGCATGTTTTGAAATAATGCTTAAAAACGTGAGCTCACACAGAGCACTGAAAACAAAAATGTCAACAAATGGAAAGGAGAGAACATAGCTACAGCTGAGGTGGCCGACATCCTTGTGCTGACTGACTGCGTTAAGAAGCCACTGTTCATGGAGTCAAAGTGCCAGGTACATGTTGCTTTGTGCTGCGCTTGCACCAAACCAAGAAACATATGTTCAATCAAAGTACACTGCACTTAGTTTGATTACTGAATCAATGATCAAACTGTTTCACAATGTTTTCCAGCATTTTCTTGGCAAAATGTAAAAACATTCTCAATAGATGGGTAACTTTAGCTCCAAGATGGTATTAACAAACCTCACCAACTTTGAATCTTTTATATATTGGTGCATTTATTAAAAATATTGCTTTACACCAAATATCACTACAGAAATAATTGGACTCTTCCTCTACATTCACTTCTTTTGTTCTAATCTAGAATTTTCAGACATTCTAAAAATTTCAATGAGAGGATTATGAAATGTAGTGATCGATCATAAAAACCTGCCCTATTTCTCAGTGGTGTTTGCACTTGGTAGTCAGTTGAAGTCGTGCTGCGGTCATGAACTTTCACTGATGGATTCGACTTTAGAAGTACGCACGTTTTATTAACTTTAGACTTCGTGACACTAGAGTGCAGCAGGGTTATCCTTCTTTGTCAGTCAGAGGATTGTACCCTATATTTCAGTATAGCTTATCTGAAGCAGTGATCACAGGGGGCAAAGGGTGTACAGGCAAAGAGTTTAAAGCATACCATGATGACTGAATGCACATTGTGACATTGAAGATAAAAGCTGACAGTGACAATAAATGAGACATCTGAAAGCACCGTAATTTTTAACGGAGTTAAAATGCTTTTGGTCCAACTCACTTTATTTTAAATTTAATGCTGCTATAGATTATGACAAACCCCCTTGCTTGTTTCTGGCTATTCAAGAAAACTGCACCATCTACCTCATTTCCATTTGTCATGGGTCTGTGCTGGCAGACCATGTGGAGAGAGGAGGTGGACCCAAATGCAGACACTTGTACCAAATCTATGATTAACAAGAGCGAGCCGTTTATTGATGGCTGAATCCGTCTTTAAGTCTGACATCATTGGCCGTGCTTGGCCCAAACTCCTCTTCAGGTCCCAAAGTCAAACGAACACTGCAGTATCACTGGAGTTAAAAACTGTCTAATCCTTTCATCTGTAATAAATGATCAGCGTTGCTGCTCTACCAGGTGTAACAATTAAGTTTAACATCCAGGCATCCACGAAAACCAAATTTATGAAATTTAACGGAGTCAGAAGTTAGCAGGGAGTTAGCTTGCTAGTTTCTGTGTGATTCTTACTCTGAATCTGAATAAGTATGCAGGACCACTGAGTGCCGTAAGACCAACTCTTTACTCACTGTATTACCGCCTCCTGGCATGCATTGCCAGTGCGTAACACGTATTACACAATCGAACAATAAACACATACTGCCCATACAACAAATGTACCAGGGACAATTATGAATACACCACATCTCCCCTTTTAAACAAAAACAGAATATTTCTTTTCTCAGGACAGAACCTTCGAGTGGACTACCTTTTGATTATTTTTTTCTTTTTCAAAGCCAAACAAAAACATCTGGCAAACAAACTGCATCACATTTTTAAACCTTTTGTTTTTATTTCCTTTTTCATTCTCTCTTTTCTTTTTTGACAACTCTTTTTGATTTGTTTTACTCTGCTCTACAAAACCATTGTAACACAGTTATATAACAACAACCTTTTTTTCTCTTAAGATCTAACTTTTTAGCTTAACTATTGCCCTCCCTGACTTGGTTCAGACAACAT